CAGTAGTGTTTCAAACTTTGAATAATTTATATATAATAACTTTTATTACTTTATAGAATGAAATAAAACAATCAAACTAATAGATAACTTAATAAATTAATATTTATTAATAATTATTCTTTAATAATTAACAATTAAATCAATCGCACAAAGATGAAAAATATTCAATTTAATATCCTAGATATTTTTCTTTTTGAGAGAAGATTTCGCGAAATAATTTATGAAATTCAACGAAATACAGTAAATATTATTTTTATAAATTTTTTAATATAAATAAATATGTTATATAAAAAATTCAAATATGAAAATGATACTAAAATAATTTAATCTCTTATAATAAATATAATAATTAAATATTTAATAATACAATTTTTTTAGAAAGAGTTAGATAATTTAGAAAAAGAACGTCTTTTGATAAGTGAAGAACTTTGTTCAAAAAATTCTCTTTTACAAAATGAACGAAAAATATCGAATGAATTAAGAATTCGTTTAAAATCAGCGTCAGAAGCAATTAATCGTTTAGAAGAAGAAAAAATGCATGATAAAATTAATTATTTAAATTTATCAGTAAATTATGAAAATGTGCTTAAAGAACGCGAAATTTTAACAAAAGAAACTTTATTTTCTCAAACAAAAGCTGCAAAATTTCAACTTAAAATTGAAAGTTTGGAGTATATATTGCAACGAGAAATTCAACAAAAAGAAAAACTAGAACAAACACTAATAGAATTAAAAAATAATAGTGAAAAGATCATTACTAATATTAATATGTAAGAAAATATAAATTTTTATTAAATTATCTATTTAAATGCAATTATATTATATACTGCATAATAAAAATTATTTATTAAAGTAATTTTCAATATTTATATCAATTATATAAATAAATTTTTTTTTAATTTAAGAATTATTTAATATATAAAATATTTCAGAAATAAATAATCAAATTTTGATGTCGTATTTTATTTTTTAAAAAAAAATTTGCATAATAAAATTTACATCTGAAAATTCTTTTTTTTTAAGACAAAAATCTTTTGTTTGTAATAAACTATTTAAGAATATTTAAAATTTACTTAAAAAATAATTGTTGAAAATAATTTTCTTTTATATACTCTTATATTCTCTAATATACTTTTATATTTTCTTATATATAATAAAACATGCATTACAATGTTTTTTTTTTCAATTTCTGTTAACTTGCATATATATAAAATAAATTATTTTAATTAAATTATTTTAATAATCAATTGTTTAAATAGAAACCTACTATGATATAAAGTCTTTTAGAATGACTTTTTTTTGCTCAATTATAATATTTATATCTAATAAAAAAAAGTGTTGATTAAAAGTGATAATTATTCATGTAAAATTTCAAAGTAAAATATAATAAAAATATATAATAATAAATAAAAATATAAAAAAAAATATTTATATCTCAAAAAAAAAAAATTCACGTTTTTGACTTATATATATATTTTTTCATTTTTAGAAAAGTTTGATCATTTATTTTCTGAAATATTTAAAGTATATGCATGTGCGTGTGCATACTTATGTATATATATATACATGTACAGAATGTTTATAAAAATATAAAACGGATATTAGAATTTTTTTCATCATTTTAATAGAATTTTTCATAAATATCTCATTTCTATAAACATGCTCTATGCACTAAACATTTTCAATATACAGGATGTTAATAGATTCGTAAGACTTTTTTAAAAGATTAAGTCTAAAAATCAAAATAAACACAAAAGTGTACAAAAATATAAATTGTTAATTGTTAAAATATTTATTATTAAATTATAAATAATTATATAATAATTAAATTATAAATTGTATAATTATAATTGAAATTTACATAAGATGAAGACGGATGAGTAAGAATATTTTATCTGTCACTGTCTTTCTTTTTCTCTATTTCATTTTATCTAATATATATTAATATATTAAAATATTAATTGTTTATAACTTAATAAACTTTATCTATATATTAACTTTATCTTTTCATATTTTAACTTTTATGTTTGTTTTAGTCTCTAAAAGCATCTTATGAATATATTGACATAATTATATGTGTATGTAATAATAAATAATTAATAATAA